ACCAGATAATCTATAGATAGGTCATTATGATTAAATTTGGACTAGATTGCTTTCAAACAATAGCTAGATATAATATTTTTTTATACAATTTCAAGTAGTTAAAATGAATTGTATATAATGGTACACCTTATTACTGTACAATTAAAATCCTAATAAGATTGTGCAACATCGTACCTAATAGAATAACGATTGGCATAACGCGTTATTGAACCAATTATTTGTATGTAATAATATAATTATTATGATATAATAATTGTTTTATAAAATTTATTATAACAATAAAATTGAATTCAGTGCAACGATAATATCAGTATTACAGCGCTATCTATGAACCGAAGTTTGCGCTGAAAAAGCCGTTCTTGTCAACTAGGTAACATGATTTTCAAAATAAATATAGATTTGTATGTAATATGTAATATGTAATATTAAATATTAAACAGCATTGAAGATAAAAATATTGTATATTTAAAAAAGTACATAAAATATAACATTTCTAAGTAAAGTAAGAAAACAATTAAAATATTAAATAAAAGATAGATCTAGATATTTTCTTTTTTAAATTAAATTAAATTTTAAAAAATGAAATTAATAGAAAAAATAAAGAGAGCAGATAAATTATAAATAAACTTAAAACTCTTCACATTAATTTCAAAAATCAAAATGATACTAGATTGCATATTATGTAGATTTATCAAGCATTTTATAATGCAATTTATGTAACCAACAACTAACAATAATACTCAAGATAAATCATTTAAAATGCTTCCCTATTCCCCAAATACACATAGCTACCAACCATAATAGTTAATTTAAACAAACTTCAAATTTGTAGTGGCGAGGATATAGATTTAAAAACATTTTTATGTAGGTCTCCATGTAATTTGTCAAATATTCAATTTGTGTAAATAGAAATATAATTTTTAATTGTTGGAAGAAATTGCACTGTGTCATGATCACAAATATAAAATGTAGATATGCAATATTCATAGTTATTAATATAAACCTATATTGTACATCACCTGCAGGTATAAATATCGGTTCTGTGGTGGCAGGCGTAATAGGAGCTAGAAAACCTCAGTACGACATCTGGGGCAACGCCGTGAACGTAGCAAGCCGAATGGATTCGACCGGAGTTTTGGATAAAATACAAGTAAGTTTTTTTTTTTTAAAAGCGTTTTAAATTTTCAACAAGTCGGTTATGTTCAATGCAGCAAAAAGTGTGTTTCTTTTAACACGTTCGATTTCGCAGCGGTTGATGTTTGAATTACTATTACCGGGATAATATTGAGTGGTATATTATATTAAAAATGCTGATAATAATATAATAATAATAAGTATATCTAATTATACAAATCTTTTTTAACATATGTTAATTTCTATTCTAAATGTATAACGACAGATTTTTCACAATGATTAGTGTTTGAATTAAATTAAGTTATATATAACAATATATAAATAAAGCAATAATAATATAAAATAAATGTAATTACTTATAATTACGAATAACAATATTTTAAGGGATAATACAATAAATTACATAAAATACATTATCTACGAATTTCATTAACAGTACACATTTACCCGGTGAGTTTAATTCATGATTAGCTCGTCTGCTCGTTTATTTTTATAATAATAAAATGGATGAATAATTTCTCTCTTCTTGTAGTTATGTGTATGGAGCTCATTTTAAATTATTTTGAACTGTAATTAAATTATTAGACTGGATTATTAAATTTGAGTGCCAAATAAAATATGTGTATTCCTTTTGGAATACAATTAATGGACGATTTGACCGTTCTAAAAGTCCCGATGTGAATTTTTCTTTGCAAGCATAGGTGAAAATCGAGTTTGAGATTTCAGGGGGCTGAAGTAATACTATAATAATATTGAATAAGCTTAGAATAAAATGAAACAACGTTTATTACTTAAATGCTTTATTTCTAAAATAACCTAACCTCTATGATTGTACGAAGTCAAATTTCACCCCATGGTTCTTTATAAAACAATATATTTTGGTAAAACTGTATTTTAAGTTATTTAATATCAAGGAAAATATAATTCATTACTAAACGCTCAACAATAACTCACACATATTTTTGCGATGCCTTTGATGATTACTCCTTGTAATTTTTCAGGTGACCGACGAGGTATACGAAATATTGAAGTTAAAAGGATACCCGTTGACTTGTCGCGGTGTCATCGAAGTGAAAGGCAAAGGAAACATGGTTACCTATTTTTTGGACAATTATGCTCAGCAAAATTAACTGATGTTGACATACGTATTGTTATTGTTGTTATTAAGAATCATATAATTATATATATTATTATTATTATTATCGTTGTAAATAAAAATTCGATGTATCGATGTGTTTATAATTAATATTTAGTTTGCTGTTTGTGTGTTTATTATTGAATTAATTCAGTACGCAGCTGCAAGATCCGCTGAATTATGTCACGACTCACCATTGGCGTCCAACATAATATTATTATTATGTAGGCACTAGCCGCTATGAAAAAGTTTCCGACTTCCTTGTAAATTGTTTCATTCATGAACTACTCTTATCAAACTTTTTTATTACCTTATTAACGAACTTTTGAATGACCATTGGAAGGGATTCGATATCCTATCGCTTAATGAGAATATTTGTCAAAAACTCAAATAAAGTGTTTCTGTATATTAAAAATACTTCCAAAATGATTTTATGTTTTATAATACACAATTATATTAATATATATTAATATATTATTATGTTTGATTGATACAACGGACATTTATACATTATTTTTATAAATTTTCGTGGTAAATCTTTGTTATAAATCCTAAAAATAAATTATTATAATCATATCACGTTTTTAAAAATGAAACTAGGTGCTCACAGCTCAATATTCAATTATTCAAAATGTTATTTCATAATTGCATGTAACGCACAGAATGTATTGGTAATTTATTAATAGGAAAGTCAGCTGGTATAATATCTACCACTTAATATATAATAAAATAATTTGAATAAAAAAAAATATACGTACTTAGCTGAACTTACTATGACTTGTTAAAATACGTTGATAAATATCGGCATTTGCCCATGACTGAAAATTAATATTATATATTTATATATTCATGTATTAGGCTAACTGTCTAAAACTTAACTAAATTATACATTAATACTGAATAATGTGCATATTATGGTGAGTTTCCTTTATATAATACATATACTATATACATAATAGTATAATACTATTTCTAAAGCTCAATAATAAACATATAAACTTACTCTTTAGTTTATATCGTTCATGTATTAGTATATGTACAATAGTGAACATATATTGACATATTGTGTAAATTAATATACGATTTGAAAATTATAATTTATGAATATTATAAATTGATTATTATATTATTTATTTAATTTTTTATATACAACGTTTCTTTCAAATGATGATTTAAATAATATGAGAATTGTTAAGAGAATATGATACGTTAGGCCACGGATTACTTAATTCAACTCTTCTTCCTTGCAACTCATTTCTTTATAACTTATAATTTATTAACATATACAACAAATAGCTCTAGAAAAAAATATTTATTTATTTATTTAAAAAAAATAGTACAAGTTAATGTTATAAATATAGGTACTTCAATCATGTGACTTATTAGAATTTGGAAAAAAATTCTAGACCACTCAAGATAAATTCACAGACCATTTGAGATGAGTTGGTGGACCACTAGTTGAACCACTCAGTTAAGATAATAGCTAAGATAATAGATCATCATAAATCATAATACTACTACTTCGTCGAGAAAAAACGGTTTGTCAATAATAATTGTGAATAAGACTAGTAAGTGCTGACCGCAATTATAATATATAGGTATTACAGAGTAATTCCGAAAAGGGTATTAACATTGTACCAACTCGAAAACTAACACTAGACAGTACCATTTCAACTCAGCGGTCGTTCCATAGACAAATTATCAAAAAATAACTAGGGAACTATTAATTTAGGTTCGCATCACTAAGATTGTGAAGATTTCAAATTTACGACTCAAGTCTAGAAAAATGCTGCAAAAAAATAAAAATATATATTATATGTATTTTAAATATAAGTATCTCCTTATCTTCACTCAATAGCTGCATATCTTATAGGAGGTAGGTTAATGAAATATGTACCTAATCAAGAGTAATAAAAAAATCTGTATTATATTTGTTTGATTAATAAAAAAAAAGGGAAAAGCTAGAGTGGTGCTGTTATTGTTTCTGACATTTACACAATACAAAGAAAATTGTCGGGGGCCAGGGGGGGGGGGATCGAAGGCTATCTCCCTACTGAAAAAAACACCGAACGAGTAAGCCTGACTTAGGGTATGAGTAGGCAGAACTCAAAAACGAATAACCGTAGATACTTCAGATACTTGAATATTTCTTAAAATGTATAATATATTATTAACATTTTTCATACATAATTCAATTTTCAAAATATTTAAACTTTATCAAAGTATATAAGCATAAGAAATTATCGAATTTTATAAGTCTTTCTTTTTAAATTCTTGTCGATGATTCATTGGTTGTCCGGTCAAAAAACTTGAAAATATAATAAAAAGTTCCTCATAAGTTTTTCACTAGTGTTATTAAAAAAAAAATTTAGAACAAAAACTTAGAATAATTGTTTATGAGCGATTGGAGTACACATTATTTTGGCATTGGGTAGGTATTAACCAATACATTTCACATAGAAAGTTTTTTTTATTTTCGTTATTCAAAAACGAATAACGGTAGATAGGTACTTGACATTCTTACCAAATATTAATATTAGATTTGTCTAACCTACCTTGTAACATTTAGAAAATATTTGATCTCTTCTTAAGCTATTAAATATTAACAGACATTTTCATTTTTTTTTTTTTGGTTCTTTTCTATAAAATATAAAAAAGAGTTTTGAAATTTAATACAAGGTTGCTCAAAAGGTGTTATACTAGCAGTTCAACATCTTTTAAACATACGCACTCACAATTTTCTTATAAGCATTTAATGTTTAAATATTGACAAAATGCATACAATTTGGCGAGGAGAGATGATGAATATTGACATTGATTATGTATTTACGTAGTGTGTTTTTTTAAAAAAATATTTTTCTGCGTCAGTGTTGACGAAAGGAATCGAAGTAAATGAAGTAATGCTTCGATTTTCAACTTCAGTATATTTTTTGTGCGTTTTAAACGTTTCAACATGGCGGTGCGCTTCGGTGGCGGTAAATATCTATCGTGTTCGGTTTCATTTTGCCGCCACCGCTACAGCTGCGCAGTGGGAGTGTGCGTCGACATTGCAGTGGTTTTCTCTCTCACTCGGCATCACTCTATCAGCTCGTCCCCATGTAGACGCATGATCACTTCAACACTGTGAGGAAGCCGGCGGTGTGCCGGTGTACAGCCTGCTTAGATCATAATGGCGCGGTCATAATATATATTATATACACTGTTGTTGTATATACCTTTGGCGTATGGGTGTGGTAAGCACTGTTAAGATTATTAAGTATATACCGGTAATCGAGCACGTCGATTGGCTGAACACGGCGTCGGCGTCAGTTACGTTGTCAGCACTGTGCGTTTCCACTATCATGCGCAGAAATTTGTTTTTTCTCCCTCGACGCCCGCTGTGGCGCGGCTGTCGCAGGTTGTCGTCCTTACTCCTACTACAGCCATGTTGTTGTTGCGATCACGTTTTGCCGCCCGCAAATACTTATGAGTAGACGACGCTAACGAGTAATGGTATTATAATTCATTTGATATCGCATCCTCACGGCTCACTCGTCATTCGATTGCGGTGATTTGTTTAACACGATCGACGACCGGCATCGTACTGCAAGACGAGCGGAACTTTTCCACTGAACCATAAGACGAACGGGTAAGCGATAACGCTTTCGGCCGTACTCCTAACTGCACATTCAGAACTCTGTTTATACCCGGTTCATTGAATCGACACACGCCCTTGGTAAGTATTGCGACAAGGTCGCCGAGTGTCTACTGTCTACCTATCGTAGACTGACGACTTATTTGGTTGGTATGTAGACACTCGCGCTCTTTAACTGTTTTTGTCTTTCGCCGACAGATGTCGACAATTAGTGAATGTAGAAGGGCAGTGTACCCAAACAGTGCCCTCGAATGATACGATTTTAATACAGACCTCTTAGTTCGTATCGTGCACTGATTGTTGGCCGATGAGGACACTGGTTCTCATTAACCAACGTGTGTCGTAACACTGACTTTAGTATTTTGGATAGGTACCACAACTAAAATGGGTTTTAATTTATTTGAAACTCAATTAACAGTTGGAAGTACATTTAAAGTAGGTGCCTAGAGTAATTCTAGAATAATCTTTGTATCAAAACATTTATAATAAGTGAATAGGTACATTTGTAACGACGACATCTACCTATACTAAATTAAAAGTAGAATAGGTACTACCAAACAAAAATAAAAAATGTATAGGTAGATACCTCTACTTTGGTCCCAACTAGTGCCTTGGACACATTTTAGCAGGCAGCCACCATACACCCAGTATATTTATGCAATACTACCTGTTGAAACAATAGCATGAAAGAATACTACATCCAATGACCGATTTGTTATAATAATATGAAATTATACCTTATGATCATTGTGTCTTTTTCTTAATATCTGAAGTTCTAATTTTGTATTCCTTTTCACCTAACCTTTTACAAAAATTTTGTTTTTGTTCTATTATAAATGGCCCCTAGCGTTGTGCTAGAATACTGATATAAAATGTCTCATGCTATGAAGACTGAATAAGCTTTTTATATATCATTTTAATGGGTACCTTCTATTCAAACATAATTTATCTAATTTATGTGTGATTTAATATGTTTGTATAGAAATATGTATATTGTATTACCTAGTTCAATACATTTAGTTATATTAATTTTATCTGCATAATCCATAACTATATCCTGCACCCATGCACTGTACTGGCAAAAAGGGGAGGGGAAAATAGGGTTCCTAGTTTAGTGATGGGAACTATTCGATAGCAGGTCACTATTAAAATTGTTCAAATAGAACCTACATATTTGCTAGTTTTCATTCCAATAGCTTATGAAATAGTTATTATTTATTCAAATTTCGAATAATTAAAAAACATCTTGTTAATTTTTTTATCATATTATACTTGATACTTAAAAATGTAATACACTAATTTATTTGTCAATAGAAAAAATTGCATTGGATTTAAATTTTTTAGTTTTTTAAATATCTTTATCATAATACTATATACAAAAGAATCCCCTTTTTTGTATGTAACTCAAAATGTACCCAGCAGATTTTAGTACAGTTTTCACTAATCAATAGGTCTAGATTCAGGGAAGGTTTTAATATACAATTTATTCGTATAACTTGATTAATAAAATAAAAATATTATTTGTGCCATACATCCGTGTATACTTCTCGTGCACAAATTTCTCTTGTGCAGTGGCACTTTAATAAGATTTCAAAGACGGTGTTTCGAGTTCGAACCAACTAACTTTCTTTTTTCAAGAAAGGGCAATATTGTCACCAACTAACGATCAAGTCAATAAAATAAATGACATGATACTGTTAAAATTCAATGCAACAACAAAAGTGCACTATTCTGTTGACACTGTTTTAGATACAGAGCAGTCGATACATTATCCAACTGAATTTTTAAATTCTGTATCTCCTTCGGGGACTCCACCACACAAATTAATTCTAAAGGTAGGTTCTCCTATAATTTTTCTTGGTAACTTAAGTCCACCAAAATTATGCAACGGTACAACATTACAAATAAAGTCTTTAAAAAACTGTCTGCTTGAGTGTATAATCCTTACTGGCTGTAGAGTGGGGAAAATGGTCTTAGTTCCTAGAATATCTATGATACCAACCAATTCCAGTTCAAACCTTTGCAATTTCCCGTGAAATTAAGCTTTGATATGACTATTAATAAGGCACAAGGTCAAAAATTAAATGTTGCAGGGGTAGACTTAACCGTCCAGTGTTTTTCCCATGGTCACTAGTACGTAGCTCTGTCACGTGTCACACGCAAACAAAATCTATTTGACACTTAACGTGGTGTATTCAGAAATATTTAATGCTTAAGACAAATTGATATAATTGCCAAAAAAAAATAAAAATCATACATCATAATGAAACAAATATATTCCACACTTATGTATAAAATTATACTAAAAAAAATAATCAAATTAAATATCTGATATACCTAATTCATATCAAACTTTTCACATAGGTATTCCTAAACATATATAAATGTACTGAAATCTAGCAATAGCGAAGCATTGCTGGGTCAGCTGGTGATTATATGATTAATAATTATCGATTTATATAATACCCATGTAATTATTATATGGCTATTCATTATTTAAAAAAATGTTTTTGTTGATCTGAATTATTAAACTCTTAAACTTTGGAATACTTGTGTTTGTGCAGGGACAAGCATTAACCGCTAAAAAGTAAAACCGCAGGTGGTCCAGTAATAACTTATGAATTGCAATTTGTAATAGTACAAGATAAACTAAAGAAACAATAATTTAAAAATAAGAATTTGATTAGAATTCTACTCTTAACAGTTACCTAACAAAGTTGATAGGTGGTCAAAAATAGTAGGTCCCCCAAAGTATTAACCCCTGACCCAGGTTTTTCTCTCTACGTCCCTGCCTATATCCAACCATTTTCACACAAATTATAATTTATGACTAAACACAAATGTGATGGGCAACGGTAACAAAATTGTACATTGTCTAAATATTGACTAATTACACGCACTAGAAGGGCCCTTAGATTGGCCCCTTTTTTTATTTAAGTTTTTCTATTATTTTATAATTTTGAATTTGTTTAACTTTGTGATAAGTGCAACACTAAATATTACTTTATTAGTTATATTAATTATTTCTAATTTATACTTTTTATAGGTGATTATTAAACACAACATTGCAAAAATGAGTGAACCGACGCCTGAAAATAACCCTGCTCACGCATTGGGTGCTGGAGTTTGGGTAAAAGTGGTCAATCGTATTTGGTGGCCTGGTATAGTTGTAGATCCTATTACGGTTCCAGAAGATTTATTTGAATATGTACAAGAAGTTAAGCCTGTTGCTGTTGTTAAATTTGAACAAGAAAACAAATAGTAAGTTAACATTTTACAATAAATTTTCTATTTTCATGGCACTAATTTTTAATTCTCTTAATAGTCAAGTTGTCCGCTCAAGTGATCCAATATTCCTATACACATGTGATCGCAAAATGGAATTTGTAGAAAAGGGTTATTGTAAGTATTCATTTTTGAATTATTATATCATGTACCTACCAGGGTTAAAATGTTACATGTACATTATGTATACAATTGTAGGTACAACTAAAACATGTGTACATTTTTATTCTTTGAAATGTATAATAATTATTAACCGTTCATTGGGTGCTATATTGATTTTAATTTTGAACTAAAATCTATAAGTCCACTTTGTTTATAACTTTTTCTTGTAATATGTACCTTGAATATATTTATTGCCCTTTTTTTAAATTATCCTTTTAACTTTTAAGTAAAGTAACTCTTTACATACATTTAAGCTCAACAAGAAATTACTAAAAAAAAAAATTTAATTAAATCTTTCATAGCAAAAACAATACCTTCACAGCTAAGCATTAAATCTAAAACATTACTTTAATCAAAAAATGTCTTCAACAAATTGCATCTATACTCTGTCCAGTGAGAGAAAGCGCCAGATTTGCGCATCCATCTGTGTCACCACGCTCCTATAACCGGTTCACCTATGGTAGGGTGAGGTGTGCGGGAACTAGATTTGGTCGGTGTGCGGCTTGTTCTCTCGCTGAATAGAGTATATCTTAGTGAATTTAAATTTAAAATAAAAAATATTACTTATTTGTTATTATTTTTTATAAATAATACTGTACATTTTCCTAAAAATAAATAAACTAATAAATTGATATGTTATGATTAAATATCTGTGGTTATCACTTATCAATACTAGGTACTATATCAGCTCAGTGGCGTAATTAAGAATTTGTCTTAGGGGGGATAAACATTTTTCACACACAAAAATACTTAGATTTTCAAGTACAGTGGTGAATGGTATCTGAGAATCCTGAGTCCTATTTCATCAAAAATCCTTTAACTAATATTTAGGTACACAAAATGTGTTAATAAATGTCGCTTTAAAATTCTACATAATTTAGTACCTCTACACATTATAATAAATTCTTCAAAATGTAAATATTGAATGTATTAAAATTAAATAATAATTATTAAAATATTAAATTTATTTTGTTTGTAATATAGGTAATATAATGTGCATAGCAATTTCCTGTAAAATTGATAATTATTAGATACCTTGTACCAATAGTCTATAATTATAATTATTAAAATATTTAAATAGTTAGGTAATTCGTTACATATAATTAAATGGGCTAAATGTTCTATATATTTTATAAATCTAATTGTATCAATCTTACCTCAGTATTATCTATATTTTTGTCTTCATTGGTTTTTGTTTTTTGCAAAAAAGATTGAATTGTATTTTTTCTTTTTTTATCCATAATTTTATAAAAATTTCAGTAGTTATACAAAAATAAATAATTTTAAATTTAATAAAAATATAATTAAACCATTAATAACGTAATAACCGTATAGCACTGCGTGTACTATTGTACAAATAATAATTTATATTACATCAACGGTCATAACCTCAACAATAATAAATAAATAAAAATGATGAATTTAGCTGCAGTCGCCAGTCGTTGTTTCTTATTATCAGTATTTCCGTGTGCATACCTATTTATAGATTTCTTTATTTTAATTCTATTTACTAAATTTTGTTGTGATCTTAGTATGACAAAACACATAATCCCACAAGTCACAAATTAATTAATAGATATACATATTATATAGGCCTTGGGGGGGGGGTCTATCCCCCTCTTAATTACGCCCCTGTATCAGCTGATAACTACTGGTCAATGCAACAATAATAATAAAAATATAAATACCATTATACAGCTTATAACCAAGTAGTTATATAATATATGCATAGTTAATACATGTTTTATACTTCACTGTATTATACGTTCCAACCCTGGTGGCTCTTACTTATCTATCGTTAACAATATAAATTATTTTTTCTATTTATATTTTATAGCATTGTATAAAAATCAGAAGAAAGGTTTACCCGTCATAGGTCAATATGACATGGACAACTTTAAGAAAGATGTAGTATTATTGGAGCGTCTTACTGGAGGTAATACGTCTATTTTTCAAAATATAGATCAAAAACAAGAAGAGGTGAAGGCCGCCAAACAAGGTTTTACTCCAACTAATACAAAAAAATCCAAAAAGAAAGAAGCCAGTAGAAAATCTTTATCAGTGCCTAAAACTCCAAAAACCGCCCCCAAAACCACTCCCCAAACCACCCCCAAATCCACTCCCAAAACCCAACCAATTCTTGTTTCCGTACCGAAAACAGCAGCTCAACCAAGAGCAGCACCAAGACCAAGAATATCACCACAATCAAAAGTTGTTAAGACATTTTTACAAACGCCATCAACTGCTTATAGTTGTCATTCACGAGTTGGCTGTAACTTCACAACTAATCGCTATACTAATCTGAAACGGCATATGGCATTGCATAAAGATGATACTGATATTACTGAAGATACTGATGTGGTTTCAGTCAAGAAACCATCAACTCGCTCCACTTCAAATAAGCGAAAGAATTTAAGGACTAGATCATCAGAGATTAAAAAACAAAAATTACAAGAGGAATTATTGAAAGATTGGGAAAACGATGGGGAGGATGAAGAAGTTGATCTAAGTAAAGAACAATCAACGAGTAAAGATCAAATGTCTAGTGATGTCGTACAATTGCCTAGTAATGTTGTGCATTCAACTGAGGAAGTTGTACCAACAAATGAAGTACAGTCTTCAATTAATGTTGTACAATTGTCAAATGAAGAAGTTGTACAAACCACGAGTAATGTTTTATCAAGCAAAAATGATGTTGTACCAACCATAAGTAATGATATACCCACAGGTGAAGTTCAAGAAACTATTACTAGTTCTAATAAAGTGTTTGATTTTAATGAAAATGACAACAATATTCCTGTTGTAGAACTAAGACAAAGCAAATCTGATTGTAGTCCTACTGTAGATGGTGATATACTTGATACATTTGAATCTCGGGTAACTTCAGATTTTATAAATAATACAATTTTTGAAGCATCGCCAAAGGAGACACCTTTGGTTGAAAAAACTACAGAAGATTCTTTCAATAAACCTCATGATATCCATTCTAATGAGTTTGATGATCAAACAAGAAGTACTGAACTATTATTAGATACAACGGTAAATGTATTAGATCAAATAAATAATTTTAAAAATTCATTGAGTGGTATTTCGAGTAGTATAAATGAACCTGATGCTAATATATTGACTGGAGATAACAATGTTGTTATTGATGTATCTGAGTCATGTGGTGATGAATATCTTGAAAAGCCTACTAGTCTAAATAAAGCTATTCACACAGAGACTAATGGCATTGGTATTCCATTGGTTGAAAATGTATCGATTGAAACAGAAGACTATGCAATTGTTGGGGAGAATACTAATGATAAAGAAATAGTTTCAAATGATGTAGAAGTCAATCAATCAAATGGCACCACAATCGATAAAGATATGCATATCGAGAACTCATGTTCTATAGATAGTATTTCCAATAAAATTAATTGTGAAGAAAAAATCTCAAAAAAAAAAGTTAATTTGCCAAACACACAATGGACAGACAAAGATTGGAAATCATTCCCAGAATCGGGCTTGGCAGAAGGTAATAACTAAATCTATGCTTATATATTATATATATTGACAATTAAATTGATAAATTAGGTTATTGGTCAAATAATATTGCTCATCAAAAAAAAAAGAATAATAATATATTCATCAATAGCTTATTGTAGGTTATACAACTAAATATAACTATATAACTAAATTTTTACTATAATAGATAGTACAAACATATATTGATTTAAACATTATACAATGACTTTGGATATACTTTGTTATTTTCGCCTTTTCACGCGATAATAGTCATGGTACTTTATCTATCATTATATATAGTTTTAAATATTGTGTTTAATCTAGAGTACTAGTAGGTAAATTTTTAATTATATAAAAGGTATATATAGGTTATATATATTATATATAAAGGTTATATGGGTTAAATAGCTTTTTTTAATGTATTACTGCTGTTTGGTAGTAAATTGTATCTGCTGTATGTTTGACGATAATATTATATCCATTATTTTGCATCAGTAAGTTTTAATTTTTAATGAAACGTAGTTGTACATTTTTATATGGTAAAGCCTACAATTATTTTAATTATTACTTTTTATTTATTACTTCAGTTATTAATGGCAAACAGGCCAATTAAAAACAGTTTTTGACAATAATATTGTAAAATATTAATTTTTTCATTAAACTTTATTGAATTATAAATAATTTATAATACCTGTAAATTGTAATTCAACTCTAAAAAAATTAATTGTGATGCGTAGTACATCCTGTTTTTATTGGCCCACCTTTATTTGTATTTAATGATGGAATGAATTTGAGTCTACGATACTTAGATTTTGAATATTGGAATGTACAAATTATCATCAACTCTTTTAAATAAAACACTTTGCTTAATTAAAATGTTTTAATAAGACATGATACCCTCATGTGTTGTCTCCGTCTTGCAAGTGCATAGTACAGTAAATTGTACTCTTAGCAGATCACTTTTAGCACCTTTGGTTTAAAAATTTGAGTGAATTAACCCTATTATAAAATTTAAAGGTAGGATCTAGGACCCTAAGTAGGCCTTTTTAAATATTATTTTTAAGAAGTTATGACCTTTTTTAAAACTTAACAATTTAAAATGATCATAACTTAAAAATAATAATATATTAATATCAAAAAAAGGCTAATGAGCCCTAAATAATAATACTATCTTTAAATTGTATTAGAGGTCAATTCACTTTAATTTTTAAACTAACGGAGCTAAACGTGGTTTGAGCAAAAAATTTGGTATGTTACGGATTTGTAAGAAAGGAGACAACACATGCGGTATCACGTCTTCTTAAGATAATATACTCACTTAGTTAGCATTTTATGCGATTTTAATAACAGCGTTATAATAAATAAGTATTTTTAAAATTGTAAATAATATATTAGAAAAATTAAAATTGTTTATGCGTGGGTATTGAATTTGAATTTGAATTTTAAAACATTTAGAGGAATAACAGTATTTCAATTTATAGAATTATGTTTAATTACCTAATGCTAGGTTGCATTGACAATGTATTGAATCAATAGTGACTTAGTGATCCTAGTGGAAACATGATTTCTACCCATTGTTGGTCCATTCAATTTTATTGAACCATTAAATTAACTAATTTTTCATGCAAGTTGGCATTAGTCATGTTTTAGTTTATCTGAAATATTTATATTTTACCATTTACACTTAATTTAGAAGTACAGAATGACACATTTAATCTTCAAATATCTTTATTGGATTTAGTTTGTATATTGTTTAATTGGCGATTCGAGGTTAAATGTGTGTCAGGGTGTTATTTTTTTTGACTTTTCGTAGGCTACCCACTGTAGAATACCATATGTATTTATGTGCAATATATATACATATTTATAATTATTACATGGAATGATGTGTGATATGTTATTATAAATATTTATTTTATTGCATTTAAATTCATTGCATAATATTGTTATACTATACGTAATACCTCGGTAGGTATGTAAAATTCTTACTTTTATTTCACAGTACGCAAATGTAATAATAATATTACCTAGCATTTTTTGATTTGTTTTCTTACTTCCCAAGACAATTCTGAAAACTGATGAGGATTATCCTTTATTCCAACTAATAAACTCCTAGTCTTATAAAATAGTAATAGGTACTTGTTTGTGTGTTCACAACTTCCCAAATCTGTGGAAATAACACAGGGCATTGATATCAATGTCCTAATATCGCATAATTTGTTATCACTGTTGACTTGGAAATTATATTTAATAGCAATGGTGGTACAAACAAGATAATATGACATCTTTGATATTAAATTCATTATGAATAGATATTTTTCCAATATTGTATTGATCTAAAATTTGGTTTTTATCATTGTAGTGCATATTTAATATTTAAGAAAAAAACTGTTCGTTTGTTGTACATTTTTATCTCAAATTTTTACACTGAAAATATTGGAATTTTGTTAATCTTATTAAACACGAGTGAAACTTGGATGCATTTCACTGTGTTTTTTAATTAATTTGTTTGCTATATTTTTGTTTTATACATAAATTAATAAAGTCAATTTTAAAACTAATGGCAATTATATTTTTCTAATAACTTCCCTAATATTTTTAATAGTATGTTCAAATTTTGTATATTTGCTTCAGTGCTCAATTTATTTCAATTTTATCTAGTTTTAACTAATAAATTCAAAATTTTTATTACTATTTCGTTTATATTTTACACTTTTTTTTATTATTAAACCAATTTTTTTTATAACACATAGCATCATATTCTGCTGAAATCGAGCTGCCCACTAGCCACAAGTGTACACTGCCCAAGTTTTTGAAGTGATCTCCACAAACAATAGAACAGAACATGTGTTCAGGTGGTGGTTTGGTTGGCAGAATGCCGTCAAGTAATACAAATACAAATACTGGGGGACTCCAGAAATTGTTCACTGCCAGATTTATCAAGTTTTCGTGTTTGTTAGATTTTACAACTTCAACTCTGTGTGTACCATTTATAAAATCTAAATAAGGGGAATAAAGTAATATATAAGTTGCACTTGATTGAAAAAATGAGTAGCTACACATTAATTTCTTCTTTGTCTATCACTGCCAAACACCATTGTGTTATATTAATTTAATTTTGGTACTTGTTTTTTATGCCACATAACAAATAATATTGTGTTATGTGAGCTATTTCTAAAATGATTACTAATAATATCACTAATTATAAATTATTTTTATATGAACAATTTTTTTCCTTCCTTACATTTAAACTAATACAATTGCCTATTGTAATTTTAGATTTATTATTTACACTAGAAAGACTGATAGTTGATTTTGATTTTTTTAAATTAAAAAAATATATATACTACAATTTTTATTAGTAGCTATAGTTGCTACATTTACCAAAATTATTCCGTATGTGGCATACAAGACAAAGTACCTTAGGTGTATGTTTTTTTAGTAAACATTTTTTTTGTGTTGTTGACTGTTATCTATCATTTTTTTTTTCATTAAAAGAACAAAATATTTTAACTCTATTGTTAAACAATAATTTGTTGTCACCTTACAAATTAATTTTAATTAACATAATATTATATTTAGGACCATTGTGGAAATAAATTATATATTTTTATAATATAAATGATAACTGTATAGACTATACAGTTCAGTTATTAAAATAACATAGCTTAATTTTAATTTTTAATTTTAAATCCAGTAAATATTTAATTATTAAGCCAGTGAAATATATATGTAGCACATAATATAATATTTAGTATTGATTTATAGCCACAGATATTGTATGTCAATCAGTTTATATTTTATTGGTAAAAATATAAATACTTAAGCAATTTTTAAATGTTGCATATTAGTACAGCAAAATATGAATTGGTATGATAAACTAAACAATTGTAACATAATATAGTAAAGTAAAGTACATTTCTAAAATAATCTATTAAAAATCTGAAGTAAAATGTTACCATTTAATGAATATTTTTGTGTTACAAATGTAGAATGTACCAATGATTAATTTAGTTTTAATAATTTAGTCAATTTACAAATTACAGATAGTGTTTATCATACAGTTAATGAACTAAAATATATTAAACGTTATGTTTATTTGATACTTATAGTTAATGTGTAATTTTGTACAGTGAGACCACTATAATAACATTTTTTAGAGGGATTGGCAATTTAAGAATGGAACAGTATTTTATTCTATGCCCTTGTGTAATATGAAACATTTTGTTGCAATATGAATTATTTTAAATTTGTACACTTTATATTTTATTATTAGGTATTGATATCTAAATTTGTTTTTGATATTATTTTAATAATTATATGGTATTTAATTCTTAAGAAATTACATTTATATTATATTAACTATAGAAAATGGAGCCAAAAGAAAATTTAAAAATATTGATTATGATAAAATCATTGTAAACATTTTATGCTCTATATAAGTTAAGAAATTATATTTTCTTAAGCTTTATTTAAAGTGTTTTAAATTTATATTTATTTTATTAAAATAAAATTTTTTTTTTTCAAAAATGAAGGAAATAAAAATAATTTTAAATGTTTTATGTATCTAATTACCATATAATAAGTAGGTATGATAAAATATTTACAAATAGCTTTAAATTTATCAAACAAATCATGTTTATTTTATAACTACAACAACATGTTCAATTATTATTATTTGTTTCGTGCAAAAAGACAATTATATTTACAATGATCAAGTCAATTAACTTTTAACATTGTAAAATTGTACTGTTATTTTTTGGACATTATTCTAATCATTAAAAAAATATTTTACATCTGTTCAATACCTACGCTTCACAATAGTATAAAAGACTTTTTCTGAAGACTAATTTGTACATATATGTTAATACTACATTATTGAAAAAATATCGCATTATATATTTATTTTCATAAACCTACAACTAATCTTTTTTTTATATTCAATTGTTGTGGACCTATACATGATCTATTCACATTAAGAATAAAAAAAAATAAAATAAAAAATTGTAAAATAAATGTATTACTTAATGTGTGTAGGTAAAAGAGGTATTAATGCGAATGCAACCAAACACCACCTGCTATATTAAATGCCTCCCGATCAGGCTATTTCGGTGGTTTCTATAATGCCATTAGGCTTTTCGCACAGCCTTCTTCCTTCACTCGCCAGGTATACCATGACATATATTAGGTATTCTGTGTGTAGTATCCATGGTCATTATTAGGTTTATACTCCAATGAATCGTACTAAACAGGTGTTTGGAGGTCCTCGAGATGGTTGCACCGATATTGTTTAGCTATACACGGAACTAGCACTATACCTACGCTCTTCATATTACGTATCAACGAAAAAGTTGAATCATCGAGAAATATTTATTTATAAAATGATTAATCACAATGATGATGTATTTTGATAAGCATATTAAACATGTGGCGTTTAGAATTTTAATTATTGAATTCAGATGTTATAAGATTAAAAATAAGTTAGGCAATACTGGAAATAATCTAAACAAATTGATTGGGACGGATTAAACGCTTTTGTACCAAGTACGCGTTACATATATTATGTATAATACGCTTGTTTTGGCCTTATTTGGTGTTTTTCATTTTTTTTTTCGTTTTTTTTTTCCGCAGCCACACGTCGGTTGGAAAAAGAACTGATGACGACTTATACGCCCCAATGCAATGAGTGCCACACAAACGAAGTGATATCCTTAGGAGATTGGGTATTTACATACCCAGAAACTTCTTCCAAGCCTGAAATTACTTCCAAGGCTCAAATTACTTCAAAGCCGCAAATTCAAGAGACGGCGCAGAAAAATTTTATTGCATGCCCTTCCGTGGAAATAGTTGTACCCCTCAGTTATGGACCATATCCGACAATAGAAGAATTGAATGCTAACCCCCTTACGGAGGATTTGAAGACAAAAATGTTTGAACAAATATTATTACAATTGAGGATTGATGAAAAATTTAAATAACATTCTTTCCTCAGTAGTGATTTTCTGGTGGCATGTAAAAACTGTTAATGTTCAAAAGGAATTTAGCCGCTACACCGGCTTTACCCAAATAAGTACACACGTAGTCAGTAATGTGTTAAACTATACAGTAATTGTATAACGCAGCTACTTTGTCCTCTCCTCTCTGCTTCTGTGTGTATAATATATTATAGAACCTATGTTCTAGCGACGAGTATCGTTCACCTCTTCCCACGGAACAACGTCTAGTTTACGTACCTTGTGTATAGTTGATGATCGATCTTTTTTTTATGATTCTTGACATGCCTATCACGATTTTATATTCTATAATAATATTATTGTGTGATCTTCAAATTTGAGATTATTATTTTTCGGCGATTTCACGAGCGTTTTATCTCGACGTTTCCCATTTTGTTTATTTTTTTTTTACTTTAACTTTAATTAATCGTTTTTGTTTCTTACGATTTCCATAATTTATTAAATAATTGCGCAAGGAATTATTATATCATAATATTTAATTTATTTTCATGTTACAATGTCACTGGAAAGGCGTATCAATTGTACTCTTAGGTGACTCGCGTAAAAGCTTTCAAATATTTATTAACACTTGTTAATTTTTAATTTTTTAAAGTTTCTACGTTACGCCGTGTATAGGTATAATATTGATACATTTGATACATAATAAAAAAAAAATATATATATATATTATAAGTACAAACTATAAACATAAAATAAATTTAGTTTGAACGTTTTTCTATTAATATTTACTTTGTTTTTACTATTATTATGTATACAACTATGATTATACTTAGATATTCTGTATAATATTTTTTATAGATTTGTAAGCGATTCATTGAAATTGGGTTATCTCATTCGAGTAACGCTCTATAGTGTTTGTAATTAATTAAAGTAGTGTTTGTACCTGGAACTTTCTTACATATGAATACTTATAGTTTCTATATAATGTATAGTTTTATTGGTTCCGTTTTCATATATTATTTTTTAATATATGCAATATTTAAAAAAAAAATTAATTTGATGAAAGTTAATACTTTTGTTTTATTTCAATTGTAAGGGGTAGATTTATAAATAAAAATGAATAAAACATATGTTTCTAAGATTAAACATTATATAACCATACACACTGTTGTTGCTTGTCTATGTTATTATAAATAATATTTACCAAATATATCAAAATACTTGAATTGTCAGTGTTTGCATTATTTTGCATTGGTAAGGTACGTTTTATATTAATATTATTCCTGCATTGCACATTATCTACATCTAGTTATGGGTCCATGGTCCATCGCAGTTCTGCATTAAGACATTTGTCAAAGAAGTGGTCCAGAAAATTTTTCTTATTAAGTATCTGTTGAGACTTGGGCAGCTACTGCCTTTCGAATATTGTCTCCTAAAAATTGCCTCCTGACGTACTCATTAATGAAAATAATCTAGTACCTATATTTACTAGTTGTTTCTCAATTGGAAGGTAATAAATAATAAAAAAGTAAAAGTAGTTCCTAAACGATCCACAATGTTTATATAGTAGTTATAAATTATAATATAAATATATATTGAATATCGCTATATTGGTAACGTGTCATTATAGGTACATTTATACTAATATTTTAATAATATAATTCAATAGAAAAAACATATTTTGGTAATATATTTTTTATTTTTATTATATTACCAAAATATGTTTTTATAAGTTAATAAAAATTTTTATTTACAATAAAGATGGGTCATGGAATATTGGAAACTCGGGACCTTGGGAAACAACTAGCATGCATTGTGAAAGTCCCAAAATTTTGGAAAATAATTAAAAACTGTTGACGCTTAAAAGTACAATTAAAAATGTAAATGTAAAAATAAACCGTTATTTAAAATTAAACCATATCTATATGACCTACTAAGTATGGACTGAAAAATAAAGCCGAATGTTGAATTCTGATTGAATCGTCATTTTCAGCATAGAAAAATACACCCACTAGTTAGAAAAAAAATGTAGGCTCAATAACCGCATCAAAATATAAAATATAAATTTATTGTGCAGATTTGAAGGGGTGTATTGGTAAATAATTTTGTTTTAAATTAGGCACATAAACACATAACCACATAATTAAACCCACATTTATTTAACAAATATTCAGACAAATCAATAGTCCATTTCAGAGTCACTCTGAAACCATCAACTGTATTGCTGGTCAAAAATTCATTTTTTGAAATTAAACCGTTTTTTACATTTTGTACCCAAGTGGCCAAGTATAAATAAAATTAATAGTATTCTGTAAAACCTAAGATTAAAAACATGTATACAATTAAAACTAAAATTACTAAAATACTTAATTGGATAACAATAATATAACTCATGGAGGTAATTTACTATTAGGTCAGTGCTATTTTTCCGTACTCCTTTTGAAAATTGTCTGTTTAATGCATTAAAACAGTTGTTAAACTCTTCTGTTTCTTCATTAACTAAATCAGCTGAAAAAAATGAAACTTTACTACTATCTGTGGAACTAATAGAAAAAATATGAATTTATTATTATTTCATTACCAAGTACATTAGGATAGACAATGGAGAGGATCAATAATTATTATAATTATTCAAATAATATAAGAACAGACAGAATACAAACACATGTTACCTCTGTTTAACTAGCATATTCCAACGTTCAGAATAATTCCCTATTACACCGTCAATAGGAAAGTGGAGTTCACACAAATATTTCTCAGTAGTTCGTTTGTGGTTAACTTTCGATACAATTTTGGACCATAGTACATGTTTATGTTTTGTTTTTGAAATATGTATTTATAGTTGTATATTATACCATACAAATTGTGTTTTATAAATCAGGTTGCAAATTTATTCTCATAGATTGCGCCAACTCCGATTAAAGGAGAAATGTCACATTTACTGACCATACCCTCATACCCGCTCACCCATCGGTGTCCACTGCCCAGTCTCTTAAATCTTAGTTCATGATTCGCTATAAAGGCTTATCAGGAGTACTCTGAATTTAAAAATGCTGAAAACCTACTTAAATACTTATTTAAAGTTGGAAATAAGTATTTAAGGCCAAACATTTTAATTTTTTATATTTTTTGACCTTCTTCACAAACCGATTGAGCACGTCTGCATCAAAAAATTAATTAATTAACAATAATGCTAAAAAAATATTTCATGTTATTCGAACCGGATCCGTTCGATGCTCTCTTTGTTCACTATATTTTGTTTTCGAATGCATGGCGTAACCTACAAACGGGCTGCTTTTTGTTATGATCTAAAATTCTAAAACGAACGACGAGAACGAAAAATGCCCACGCCTATCTACTATATTTTTTGAGTACACCGAAACGGCAATTTTCTATGTTCGTATAACGGTCGTTTCATACGCGTATTATTATGATGACGTAAAACTTTGTGTGTGTATAAAACGCATCCATGACTCGTGCCAACAGTTTTGAAAACCAATACATTATAATATTACATGACGATGGGAAAAGCTGAAATGCTGAGTACATTGTACTGAATGTTAAACGATTTTTGTTTTTACGCGCGATAACCTTCAGCTAGGTACCTACGTATAGCATTACAATAACGACGTCGCGATAACGCGAACGAACAAAAAAAAAGATCTCCGTCGGAAACATCGTAAACGCTCTTAATGCGTTTTGTGGATGGACAACATTATAATATTATAATGTATACTTGCTCGCGTGATATCAATGTTCGATATATTATTATCGCATTGATAACTGTTCGGAAACACATATCGGATACGAATGGATTTCACATTGCATCTGTATAGTTCATAAAATATATTTTCTGTAGGTAATAATATTTTTGTGTACTTATACTATAAATTATAATATTAGGTATACTATAGGTAGGTACATTACGATGCGTAACTCTTATTAAATCAGGCATAACCAATCTTTATTGGAGGATTACTCTAATAATTATCTATATTAGAATTAAATTAATTATTATACAACAGGAACGCTTCTAATTGGAATCGCGGACGATTCGCCCCCGTCAAAAAAACAAGTCCACGGACATTTCGTCCCTGTCTATTATTAAGATAGGACATTTGCCCCCCGGCAGTTATATAGATTTATTTATATGTACCCATAGGACGTTTGACCCCTGTTAGGTTAGGTTAGGTTAGGAAAGAGGCATTATTTTTTGGAACGGTATTAATTAATGTCTGAACAACTTCACTTTTTTCTATTTTTTTGAATATCTAGTGCACGTAAATGTTTTTTTCTACCGTCATGTTGTGTCACAGTAACATTTACGAACAATTAATTTTAACATTAACAACCTACTTATTATGTTCTAAATTAATTAACTCAAAAAAATAATAATAGTAAACTAACAAGTTAAAAATGTTACGAACATTTATTACCTTTATGACCTTATCGATTGATATTTATCTTAATCGAAGTTTTTCTTATCGACAGATGATATTACTCGACTATTATTTATTTGTCAGACAGTGGAAAAATGTTATAAATATTTTATTTATATTAAAAAGAATTTAAATTTAAATTTAAAAAAAAAAAAAGATTTAAATTTAGTGATTTAAAATTCCAGAGGCCAAACGTCCTATGAATAAATATAAATAAATCTATATAACTGCCGGGGGCCAAATGTCCTATCTTAATAATAGACGGGGACGAAACGTCCGTGGACTTGTTTGTTTGACGGGGACGAATTGGCGGGGGTGAATCGTCCTTTTACCTTCTAATTGTGCGTTACTGTTACGTTCTACTGTTACGGTTTAAAATGTGTCGTAATTGTGGTAAATTTGATTGGTGGTTGAAATTTAAAAGTAAAAAATTCACCTTAGTTATAAAAAGTCGGGAAAACAGAATAAAAAATTAAGAAAAAACTGCTGGACCCATACAAAATAACGAACGTAGACAATGCACTTGTTTTCCCAATATCAACATTAGAAAATAAACTAACCACAATTATGATCTAAAAATAGTAATCTAAGTGCATATAGTTTATTTACTTTATGCATCTCCTATAGCAGTAGCGAGGCTTGAGATTTTTGGTTGAGGAGACACTGAAAAAAAAAATAGCACTTTTACGTTTGGACTCACCCTTTTTATATTTTATCTATACGATAAGAAATAAATGTTCAAAAACTAAAAACAAAATGAAATATTATATTTATAAACGTTACGCCTTCCTTGAAATAATAATTTAATAAAATAACTTATGTTTGATAGCAAACAAAATAAAATGTTATATAATATACTGGTCGTATGTAGGTATGCAAATCGCATTAAGATGATGTTTAAAAAACAAATTTAAGTTAAATCTATTTTTCTAATTTTGTCTTAGAATTTTAGAAAATAAGTCAATGACATTAAGTTGAAATTTCTAGAACATATTGGATATTCACTCCATTCCTCATATAACGATTTTATTATTTTGGTGTTATTCAAAAAGAAATAACTGCAGATACTTGAAATTTACATATATGTTTATACAGTGGGTTCTGCTTAATGTGATCACTTAGGTGCAGGTCATTTTAATTCTATTAACCGGTTGATTCTATAAAACATTTACAACATTTTTTTCATAATTCAATCTTTTAATCTCTTATAGTTAAATCTTTTCGTTTGGTTGACATTTCAAAAAACACGTCTG